TTGGTATCAAAATATAAATGTATTAAAAAAAGAAGAAAAATATTAATTAGTTTTCATGAGAATGGTTGTATCCCTTCTAATCTCATGCATAGAATGGTGGGGAATGGGACCCAAACGAGGTTCTGGAAGGATGTTTGGTGCTTGGATATTCCTCTTAAGGAACGGTTCGAGAGGCTTTTTGCTTTGGCCTCTAATCAAGATGCTCGGGTTAGTGACTATTGGGATTCGGGGGGATGGAATTTTCATTGGCGACGGGGGATTAGAGGAGGTGCTGAATTGACCCAATTTGATGATCTGGTGGAGCTTTTAAATCATATTCGTATAGGGGAGATGTCAGATAAGTAGTCTTGGGAGCTTGACCCGTCATGTATTTTTACTGTTAAATCAGCAAGGCACTGCGTTGATGATATGATGCTTCCTATGGGTAGTACGTCTACTAGGTGGAACCGTTTTGTTCCTATTAAAATTAACATTTTCTTATGGCGTGTGCTTTTGGATCGCATTCCGGTTAGAACTAAATTGGTGGAAAGGGGGGTGGCGATAGATTCCTTAATGTGTCCTGTGTGCCATAACTATCAAGAAAGTGTGAATCATTTGTTGCTGCAGTGTTCGGTTGTTGATCAGGTGTGGAGTCGGGTTGGGCAGTGGCTTCAATTGGACCTTCCTGTGTTATCTTCTATCCGTGATGTGATGGATTGGGTGGATTATAGATCGACTATTCATATGGAGCGCTCGATTGTTGAGTCAATGTTCATGGTGGTCATATGGGTGATTTGGACGTTTCGTAATTCTTTACTCTTTAGTAGCATTAAGCCTAGAAAAGATAGACTCTTTGATTATGTTGTGGATCTTTCTTTTCGTTGGTTTTCGTTTCGGAATTCAAAGGCTCGAGTTAATTGGATGATGTGGTTACAAAATCCAATCCGGCCTTAACTTGTTCTTTTCTCTAGCTCCTTGCTAGAGGTTTGTTTTTTTTAATATATTTTATGTTGCTGTTCTAAAAAAATTAGTTTATATGAAAGTGTGATGTTGTGATCATATTTTCTGTAAAGTTGTCTTTATGTATTAGTATATAAAAACCATAAAACTCATTGATTTGTATTTCAACATTAAAACTTTTGAAAAATTAAAATAGTAGAGCAACGGAAATGCATTTATTTTAAATAGTAATAACTTATGCTTTGCTACCATTGTTTATTTGCGTTAGATAAGAGTTTAGTAAACAATATAAACCCTACCACAATAAACTACACGATCCACAAAAGGAGGTTACATTTATTTAATCAATAAAAGTTAATATGGATTTTTAAACGACGTGCAAAATATTTGATAACTTGAATAGAGTTCAACTTTGAACTTTTATGAGGTGAGGTGTCATCCTCTTATTAGTATATATGATATATGATATATGAGGTGAGGTGTCATCCTCTTATTAGTATATATGATACACTACATATATTTTTAAAATTCTTTAGGTGGCAATTGGCATAGATAAAAAAAAGTGATTACTTATTATATACTTAGAGATACGTAAAAGGATTGATAATCGATGGTCGGTGAAAATAGAGACTAGTAGAATTTTATTTTATGGGATACTTACCTTTATATCATATTTTTTAAATTAATATTACAAAACAATATTAATTTATGGGATATTTGCCCTAATCTCAAAATATGCTTGCAAATATTATATTTGCAGATACTCGTGCAAATATTAGACTATACGGAGTGGGTGGGGTCTGGACCGCACTCCACTTACCACATAAGCACGAACACCGCCCCTTGGGTGCGGTCCAGGCGCGGCCTAGGGTGCACTGCGGCCTTCGGAGGGAGCGATCAGTGGAGGAATGTGATTGGGCAGCGCATTTGACCGTTGCAAACGGTAAAAAAAAATGAGTTTTTTAATTTTTTTTTCTTTTAAACTTTAACATCTATTTAAACCATTCAACCCGTCATATTTTTTTTTTATCTTTCTACTACATTACCTCTCAAAAAAATCAAAAAAATGTATTCGTCCGATTCTTGGAGTTTGATGTTATGTTCGATGTTTTTGTCGCTGCTGCTAAATTTGCGGAACAAACGTATGAATCAGCATGCAGTAGGGCATCCGACAGTGCTGAACAGAGAACACGGAGATATATTTTTAGAAATCGTGAAGATGCAAACCAACGTCTGATACACGACTACTTTCAAGAAAATGTCACTTTTCAAGGATACTACTTTAGAAGGCGCTTAAGAATGTTCAAACCATTGTACGAACGTATAGTCGAAGATGTAACGAGGGAGTGTATTTTTTCGAGCAACGACCCGATGCTAGAGGTACACCCGGTTTCACCCCTTTATAAAAATGTACAGATGCACTTCGTCAATTAGCATATGACATCCCTCCTGATGCGTTGGACGAGAGTTTTAGGATGTCAGCTAGGACCGCACGAGATAGTCTACACTATTTTTGCAAAACTATTATTCAGTTTTGTGGGCCAAAATATTTACGTAAGCCTACACGCAATGACATCATGAAATTGCAATCTCATCATGCTAGCGTACATGGCTTTCTTGGAATGTTAGGAAGTTTAGATTGTCTACATTGGGCATGGGAAAATTGCCTTCCTCACACTATGGTCAATTTACCCGAGGTGATCATGGGCATCCAACGGTCATACTTGAAGCGGTGGCATCATAGGATCAGTGGATTTGGCATGCTTTTTTTTGGTTCTCTTGGATCCCTCAACGACATTAACGTTCTTAATTGTTCACCTATATTTAACAACACATACGACGGATCTGCACCAGATTCTTCTTTCCAATTGCGTGGAACACCATATAAATATGGTTATTATCTAGTTGATGAGATCTATCATGAGTATGCAGTTTTTGTTAAATCGTTTACGTGTCCGAATGATACTCGTCAGAAAAAATTCAAGAAAGCTCAAGAAAGAGCTAGGAAGGATGTCGAGCGGGCTTTTGGAGCTCTCAAGAAACGTTGGTTTATATTGAAAAAACCAACAATTTTTTTCCGCGAGGAGGAAAAAAATGCATGAAGTCATGTATGCATGTATAATACTGCATAATATGATTATCGAAAATGAAGGAAGAGCGATATGTGAGTATGATGAAGAGGAAACCATTCCCACGACACAAACAATAGAAATTGGGGGCGACGAGTACATTGAAAAGAGAGCAGAGGTTCGTTGCAATGAAACATTTCACAATCTTCGTATGGATTTGGTGGAACACATTTACGGGATGCAACACATTAACCTCAATTTGGATCCGGAGGATGACCCGGAAGACGAGTTCTCGGAGGACGACTTCATGTAGTGTGTTTATTTTAAATCGTTTGATGTATGTTTTTTTTGAGTTTGTAGGTTTAAAATTTCTAGTGCTTTTTTTTTTCTTGAAATTTGTAGGATTTTTATTTGGGCAATGAAATGTAATGTTATTTTTATTTTGAAGTAATGAAACGAATGGTTTTTATTAAAAATATAGTTTTTATTTAATTAAAAAAAAAACCAAAGTGTGGCACCACTCCTTGGGTGTGGTATGAAACCACACTTTTGTGGTAATGGGTGAGGTGGCACCTACGTGTCACTGCGGTTTCATGAGGGAGTGCGGCACCACTCTCAAGCCTATATATATATATATATATATATATATATATATATATATATATTATATATATATATAGATCTATATATATATAGTCAGGATCAATAGCGAACTCCTTTGAATGAGCGAACCGACGAACTGATCAAATCAATAATTGCTTTAATCGTAATTGAGGTTAGACTAGGAAATCGTTTCAGCTTCCGATTACTTGCAATTAAAGGAAAGAACTAACAAACTTTACTAAAACATTTTTTGATTACATATTATTGAAACTGTATTAATTTCAAGTTAACTTTAAAAAAAAATCTTATGCATATGATCAAGGTTGTAGAACTCGCTACTCGGTATCTGTTCCACCAACTGCCGAGTAGCGAGTACTCGGGAGTACTCGGATTCGGTAATTCAAGTAGAAATATTTTTAGGAAAATTATATATGTCAAAATCATAAGTTAAAATCATAATTTGATTGAAATATATAACAAAATTAGATACATGTGCATACACAAAACTTAAAAAACACATAATGGTCTTACTTCGTGAATAATTACAAACTTAAGATATTATATATATATATATATATATATATAGATATATATATATATATATATATATATATATATTATATAGTACTAATTACATATGTGTGTGTTAAACAATAAATCATTAACTATAGATTAATCATCGAGTTGATAGAGTTTTACAACACTGCTTGCTTCAGTAAGGGGTCGATCGGGGAGTACTCGAATTCTGTAACTCGCCTCAGTAAGGGGTCGAGTAGGGAGTAATCGGCCGAGTAATCGACCAACTCGGCGAGTTTTACAACACTGCATATGATTGATGCATTGCTTTTTTTTCCTGACCAAATCAATAATTGTTTTATTCAGTTCGTTAGTTCATTCCCATATTTAAAGTTCGCTGTGGAATTATATATATATATATTATATATAGATATATATATTATATATTATATATATATATATATATAATGTTACTTGGTTAGAAAATTAAACTTTGATTTAAGAGATATAAGTTGTAAACTTTAGCAATAATTTTTGGAACTTAAATCAAAAAATTTTGTGCAAGGGCCTATTCTTTGTTTATGCATTAGGCCTAAAAGTTGTTTGTACCACTCCTGTCTCAAACTTGCTTAATTGAGAATAGTTTCTAACATATATTTGAACTATTCAAGCTCAAATATTCCTCATTCCAAAACCGAGTTCAAACTTGACCTAACATGGTCGATTTGAGCTCAAGCTTTTCATCGCATTTTATAATTGCAAAACCACAGTGACTCATGAGCCCTTATTTACCACGACAAAAAACCATGGTTTTATCAAACAATCATGAAACAAGTGATATATTTTTGTCATTTTATAATGCAAAGAGGCTATTCACAAAAATAACCCTAATACTTTACTGTTTCAACTATATAATATAATATGTGATGAACAAATTATGACAGCTATAGAAATTGAACCACGGTTGTCAGCATCTTCTGAAAACTGCTCGTATCCATCGCCTAAAATACAAGAAATCAAGAGCAAATTAGATCACACTGAGATATTTAATTAAAAAAAGAAAATATCAGGAATGAAGTATATACCGCTGCATTGTAATATTTTTAGAACGGTTTTTAATTTCTCTGTTGTATGTATTTACATCCACTATGCTAAATCCAGCTCTTACAAACATATTTGACAAAAAATCTTCCGAGAAGTAGAACGAAGACTGCAGACAAATATTTGATAATAACAATAAGATTATTAAAAGGATGGAAATAAATAATAATAATAATAATAATAAACTTACAGTGCCATCTCCACGAAAATAGAAGTTGTCACAAATAACTTGATTCTTGGTTATTAGCAATTCCTGCATAATGACCATAAAGATTAGATGCCATGAAGACCAATTAAATGGTAGAACAAGATACTATAAACTCACTTGAGCATAATCCCCAATTGCATAATCCCGTAAAAGAACAACACCATTAGGCTGCAAATTCATATATAATATGGAATGTGAGTATACACACCAAAAATTAGAACTAAGAATAAAGAGAGTTAATTTGGATTAGGGTGTGACCTTTAATACGTGTCCAAGGTTTTTTGTATCACATTAGGCATGTTCTCAGGACAAACCGCAGATAATGTAAAAATCTGCATAAAATCATTATTATAGGTATTTATCATTTATCTATAAGTTCTAAATTCTCATATAGTAAGAGTATCAAGAACCAAAATCTTGAAGTTGTAAAGTGCATTATTACCAATGTAGCAATGTCAAGAGATGAGGGCATAATGTGGTCACAAAGATCGTCTTCGGCAATATTGCAAACAAAAACATTCATTTGATCTTTACGAAACTTTGCATCTGACTGCATTCCTTGAGGAGACAAAGTCAATATTGGACGAGGTTTATAGGGATATTTTCGAGGATGAGGAGGGCATTCACGTCTTTTGCATAGACAAAAAAACTGGATGTTTTGTCTCATTGACATAGCCAAACGCAGTAGAGGATTATCCTATGTGGCAGATCATCAAAGTGGGAAAATGATGAGGAAGTAATGAACCTTAACAAGATTGATAGCATGATGAGAGAAATCACAAGCATGGACATAAAGTTGAGGGTATTTCTTGATAAGTGGAAATATTGTGTTTCCAACTCCACAACCAGCCTGTGGATAATGATGAAATTTTAGTTCCAAAAACAAAATGCACTTTTACTTTTACTAGTCAAATGAATCAGGTATAATCTTCAAAATTCGTATATGAAAATTTTGAAATTTCCAGAAATGAGAGATGAATCTACCTCTAAGATGATTTTTCCATCGGAAGGGATGGTGTCGTCATCACAAAAGTATTGCCCCCAGTCCTTCTCCAGGTAATGTCGATCCTTGAAAAACTGCAATCAGTGTAATTACTTCATGAAATCTGTGTGTTGTATTATGCTATTGTTTCGCAACCTTTTTCCCCAAAATAGAAGTGGTAAAATGGCTCAACGCAATCAAATTAGCATATATCAGTGTTTTTTCGAGAACTGAAGTCAAATTTATGGAATCAGGGAGACGATACCTTGTTTTGATGGCGCTCGTAGAATTCGTCCCAGTGCTTTCTGGAGTTGTGATTATATTGCTCGACGTTAAAACTACCCGTGAAACCCTAAACACTGAACGGCGGTGGAATGTGGTCGACGAAAGAAGATGTGGTGGGAGGTAGGAGTGTCGTTAGGGGATAATATGTACCGGCGTACGACGGCGATACTGAAACCGCCATCGCCCCTGCTTCTTCCGTCGCTGAGTTTTGGCTTCTGCCCGTATTCTCAGAAGATTTGCGTGAACATTCCTGTACTGTGCCAAACTCCATCATTTTTATTTTTCACATTACCATTAGGCGTCATATCGGGATTTATGCGTCATATCGGGATTTACCATAAAAATATGGTTTCTTACCGGGGAAAATAGAGGCTATAATCATTTTTTGGTCGTGGTCTTAACTCCACCTCAATTTATTTGAACCGTAAGGTATGGATCGAAATTTATATTCAGTTTTATGTTAACCTTAGTTTTGTTCCATTAGTTTTATTTAGTTTTTAATAAATAATTTTTACCTTTTAATAAATAATTGTAATGTATGGATGACAACGAAATGACAAACAGCTCTGTGGACTGACAAAACAACTCTGCAGACCGACAAAACAGCTATGCGGACCGACAAACAGCTCTGCGGATCGACAAACAGCTCTCTGCGGAGTTGAAGAGTCTATATATTGTCATGGATGATCGTTGAATTTTTGGTAAAGAGTTACAAATTATTTTGAATTTTAATATGAGTTCATCTTCGAATTTCTATATTTGCTCGTGCAACGAACTTCATTGTTACTATTGTGATCTGATCGGCCATTTTCTTGCCCCGTCACCAAACATGAGAGAGCCGTATATGCCTGATGATACTTTACAACAATTACAATGGGTTAAAGAACAACAAAAAAGATAGAGAGTCATCTCGGACTCTCACTGAACGTTGTGACCTCATTGCGGCAGAGTGCAATGAGGTTGAGGAAAGGATGTGGATTAATAAAAAAATCAAAGATCATGAGGAATGGATAAAAAAGACAAAGAAGACTATCAAAATGACTGAAAAATGGCTTGCTGAGAAGGATGCAGAAATGATAGATCGTTGGCGGCAAAATGACCGTTTTGAAGATAAAATAAGAATTAGGGACGACTATATAACAATGGAGAAAGATAAGTATCCATTGCAATTCCCTTAAGTTGATTAGTGTTGTTGTACGTTTATTATGTGTTTTTGGTTTGTTGTATGTATTATCTTCGAGTTTTAGTTATTACTCTACTAGTAATGATGCACTAATATAATCATAATATTATCCATAATCTTTAAAGTAACCACACCATTTCAAAGTACACAATCAACATCTTCCAAAACATAACATACGTAATTATACATACAACATCAATCATTCAAATCAAACGTTGAACAAATAGTCTTCTCTTTGCGTCCCTTGCATCCTGTACGTCTCTAGCGTCTCGTGAGTCCCTTGTGTCCCTTGCGTCCCTTTCCATTTTGTCTTACTACTTGACACCGAGCTACTTTTTCTAGGCTTCTTTTGCTTCATTGGTACCAATGTCGGACAAGTCGCCGCATTATGTGTTGTACTATCACATCTACTACACCTTCTTACTATAGGTTCTGTCACACCCCGAAACCAGGATGGTGGAAACGTTCCGGGGTGGAGGACGCCATGTTTAGCATCACAACCATTGTACAGTAGCAATCATAGTAACACAACCATAACATGAATATATATATATATATATATATATATATATATATATATATATATGAAATGTTTACATCAGTCTGAAACTTGTTTTAATACACCAAAAGTACGTAGAATAGAATATGAAACAGACTCTTATTGCTCCGGCTCCTCTAAATCCAAGAAGTACCTGTCTACTGATGTCCTGAGAATACAAGCAATTTGAAAGAATATTAGCATAAAGCTAGTGAGTTCATAAGCATTTAGTTTTTAGTGGAAAATGTTCTTTGATTCTTTTGAAAAGTGTATCTCAATAAAATCCCATATTTTCTTATGAAAAGTAGAGTTGAAAGAGTATCTATTAGTAGAGAATAAACCATCAGTTTTAGAAATGCCGGTGCTATCCTGGAAAAATCCCATATTTTCCCTAAAAACAGGTTATCCGTCCTAGAGGTAGAGATGCAAGTTTAGAAATCCATGATTACTATCAGTATATGTATGTGAAAGTAGTTTTATTACTCAAAATAAAACAAATGAAGAGTAGAGTCCGTAAACCAAAGTTAGTTTATACTTATTTTGCGAGTCGTATAACCATACTTGATATGACCTAGAGACCTTTATAACGTTCTTCAGGCGTTAAGCTAAATGACATTTGTTCACCCCAGGTGTGCCCGCCTAACTGTAGCTAGCAGTTCAGGTGTGGGATTGTCAGTCCCGAATAGATCTATTCACAAATCTCACGCTCTCCCTCCAGGAGACTCTGGTTATACTAAAAGGATTTATCCCTGTACACCTAAGGGTACAGTATTGAAGTAGAGCCTCACAATTCTGTATAATCTAGTTTACAAGCTAGAGACAGTATAAAACAGTAATTATCTTTGAATAATGTACTTTATACTCCTGAGAAAATATGTAACATAAACTAAATCTGCCACAGTTTATACATAATCATCCATGAAATCGGATTTGATAAAAACTGCCTAGAGGGTTATCCCAAACTATACCCATTATAGTTTATTAGAGTTTATATGGAAAATGCTTTGTAAAAACCTTTCTGAAAGCTATGAAGTTAGATTTCCAAAATAGAAGTTTCCCTTATGCTCAACATATTACAAAAAGGGATAAAATATCCGAATATGTTATTAACCGTTGAAATCGTTGGACTGTATTAATAAGTTTAAAACTTAATAAAATACTTTGAGTTTGGCTTGTATTCCCCCCCTGAAAACATTAAAAACACGAAAAATGTAGGGGTATGAACTCACCTCGGGTAAGTGGTTTGATTGAAGGATCGATACGGAAAGCTGAGTGTTCAAGTGAAGCTTTGAACACGATTTGATCCTAATTAACACGTAATGACACATAAAAGAGTCAAATGAAGGTATTTCACCACTAGATGTGATGGAAAAACCACTCTACACTCATGAAAGAAGGTTCCCTTGAAGTGTTTCCAAGGTCCATACATGCATCCATGAAGTGTTCTAGGTCTATACTCAATTGTAGTGCAAGTTAAGGGTTCTAGAAGTGGGTTTGCGACCCTAGGATGAGTGTGTGGTCGCACACAGGAGTGTGCTGCCGCACACAAGGAGTGTGCTGCCGCACAAGGGTGTGTGCGGCCGTATACAGGTGTGTGCGGTCGTACACCCCACATGAAGATGTCCAAATGTCAATTCCAAGGTGCAATAAGGCTAGGGTCATGTCTATCTCGAGTATGGAAGTCAAACTCTCACTTTGGAGGGTGTTTTAAGAGTGTGCGGCCACCTTTAAGGGGGTGTGCGACCGCACTCACTCCCAACCAAGAAGAACATGACGAATATTGAACACTTAAGGCTTAGATAGAGTGGTCTTTCATGGATATCAAGTTAGAGGATGAATTACTCACGTTCTTGAAGCTTTGGAGGGTTTGTGGTTGAAGAAGCTTGAGAGGAAAAGTGTTGTGTGCTGCCAAGGTGTCAAATAAATGAAAGGAAAGGGGGCTACCCTTTATATAGGGGTAAGTATGCTGCCTAAAAGAGAGTGTGCGGCCGCACACCCATGTGTACGGCCGCACACCCATGTGTACGGCCGTACACTCCCCTTAAGGGTGTGTATGGACCGGTTTTGACACTATACGACTTGCTGACTCATTCCTAAACTCAACCTTGGTCATCCTCAAGCTTAGAACACTTAAATGAACCCTTAAACAGCACAAGAAGTCAACAAAACAAGTTTAACATTGATTGAATTTGACTAAGTGTACAAGATAGAAGTTTCGGGTTGTCACATCATCCCCCCGTTAGAGGGAATTTCGTCCCGAAATTCAAAAATAGAGTACAATCATGAACTTGGAAAGAGATGAGGGTACTTCTGCTTCATTGAATCCTCGCGCTCCAAAGTGAATTCAGGTCCCCGCTTGGCATTCCAGCGAACCTTCGCTATCGGGATGCGACTCTGCTTGGTACGTTTGACCTCTCGGTCCATGATTTCGACAGGTTCTTCCACGAAACGTAGACTTTCGTCTAGCTCGATCTCGTCGAGAGGAATCACAAGTGTCTCGTCGGACAGACACTTCTTTAGGTTCGACACGTGGAAGACACGATGGACGTTGCTGAGTTCTCGGGGTAACTGGAGTTTGTATGCTACGGGACCAATCCTAGCAAGGATCTTGAATGACCCAATGTACCTTGGGTTTAGCTTTCCACGTTTTCCGAAAAGTATCATGCCTTTCCATGGTGAGACCTTCAAAAAGGACACGGTCAGCAACCTGGAATTCCAAGGGTTTTCGTCTCTTATCGGTGTAGCTCTTTTGTCTATCTCGTGAGGCTTTCAGTCGTTCTCGGATTTGTACGATCTTTTCAGTCGTCTCTCGGATGATCTCAGGACCAGTGAGAGTGCTGTCAGGGACTTGACCCTTGACTAGTTGCGTGTCACCCACCTCCGCCCAACACAGAGGGGATCTACACTTACGGCCATAGAGGGCTTCGAACGGCGCAGCCTTGATGCTGGTATGGTAGCTGTTGTTGTAGGAAAATTCGACCAAGGGAAGATGAGTGTCCCACGACGTGCCGAAGTCGATGACACATGCCCTCAACATATCCTCCAATGTCTGGATCGTTCTCTTACTTTGTCCATCTGTCTGCGGATGATAAGCCGTGCTCATATCCAACTTAGTTCCAAGGGCCTTCTGCAGCGATTGCCAAAACCTCGAGGTGAACCTGCTATCTCGGTCGGAGATAATGGATACAGGTACTCCATGAAGGCGAACTATATCTCGAATGTAGATCCGCGTGAGTCTCTCCATCTTGTAATTTTCTTTGATTGGCAGGAAGTGGGCGGATTTAGTCAACCGATCGACAATTACCCATATGGCGTCGTGCCCACTCGGAGATCTGGGTAATTTGGTGATAAAATCCATGGTGATCATTTCCCACTTCCACTCAGGTATTTACGGCTGCTGAAGCAAACCTGAGGGCTTTTGATATTCTACTTTTACCTTGGCACAAGTCAGGCACTTGCCCACGAAAGTAGCAATTTTTGCTTTCATGTTCGGCCACCAATAGAGTTGTTTGAGATCCAGATACATCTTATCCGAACCTGGGTGAACGGAGTA